CTGCGGTCATAAGCTGATTTATCCTCGTAACATTCAGAGCACACGATGGCTGTTTTGTCTGTACGCGTTGTTACTCCCACCTTGGTGAAGACGCGGATCCCTCTCTTCGCGTTCGGAGGTGGTCGAGAAGTAAAGTAAGCTTCTCTTATTTAGTATAAGTTTATTCGGCTTGCACTCGTGGATACACATGTAACGGCAGTATAGCGGTTTCTTGTCGGTGGTTTTTCGTCGTACAAAGATGGCAGAGAATGAAGAAGAAATGCGCGCGCAACTTACACGCGGGAGAGTAGGAGGAAAAAGGTGGCGCGCTCGCCAGCCGACCCAAACGGTCGCAACAACGCACGCGCGGTTCCAATAATCGCGATCCTCTATCGGGACGTATAGCGCATGCGGCAAGGTTGGCGCCAGGCGCCAAATCGATCAAATCCAATCATGTAATTTTGTACTTAACACGCCGCCCCCTTTGAAAGGACGTGCTTTCAACAAGAACACACACAAAAACGAAAACTAGCTTGTACCTTAATTAACTAACGCTTGCTAGGATCTTAAAGAATGCATCGCATATAAACTATGAATTTTCAAAAAAAAGGCTTTCTTATCAACTAAAAAAATGACAGCACAGACGAATTCCCTTTGAGGAATATTACAATCTCAGGGAGAGAAAGCATACAATAGCGTATCTTATGACTCTATAGGCAGTATCGCTAGTTTAGAGAGAGGTCTCACGCATGACCCCTTGATCGTTTGAACAGTAGCGGTCCGTACGATACCGTCGGAACCGATGTGAGCTTCTTGGACTCGCCCTAATAACCATTGCATCGGAGCTAGGCCTTGTTGTCTTACGAGCACGAGCTGTCCAGATTTTAATTGTGCACCTTTGTTGACCTTCCACTTAAGGCGCTCTTGCAGGGAATGGAGATACTCGGTGCTCCATCTTTTCCAAAAATGCTGTCTCATCTGGTCTACTCGCTGCCATCGCGTCAGTCGGTTCTCGTTCACGTCGCATAAGTCTCGGCAAGGAAGGCTATTCATAACCGTTCCGACCAGAAAATGCCCTGGACTGAGGTAGGAGAAGTCATTCGGGTCGCTACTTAATTGTGTAAGAGGACGCGAATTCAAGATTGCCTCAATCTCAGCAAGTACCGTCTGCAACTCCTCGAAGGTTAAGTGAGCCTTGCCAATGATTCGCGACATGTGATACTTGGCCGCCTTCACGGCTGCCTCCCACAATCCTCCGAAGTGAGGCGCGTTAGGTGGGATGAAGCTCCACGCAGTTTCTTGTTCGCAAAGGAATTGTTTTACATCCGTTTGCACTTGCTGAGAATTGAGGAAGTCTCGGATCTCCTTAAGCTGGTTGTTAGCTCCTGTAAATGTAGTTCCATTGTCAGAGTATATACATATCGGTTTACCTCTTCGGGATATAAAACATCTAAGCGCACCGATGAACGCGTCCGAAGTGAGATCGCTCACTAGTTCAATATGCACCGCCTTTGTGGCGAAGCATACGAAAATGGAAATGTATGCCTTGCTATTACGGGCGTTTCGACGTTTGACCTCTTTGATTACAATTGGACCAGCGTAGTCTACGCCACAATGCGAAAATGGCATTGATACCGTGTCGCGACTGGCCGGCAAGGAGCCCATGAATGCCTCTGATGGAACCGGTTTGGCTCTGAAGCATGTTATGCAGTTCCGAAGGATTTTGCGCGTACTAGACCGTAGTGCAAGAGGCCAAAAGCGCTGTCTTACGGCGGCCATAGTAGCCTGCGCGCCGGCATGCATATTACATACATGTTCATGATTTATCACGCGTTTTGTAAAATCGTGTTCGCGAGGGAGCAATATCGGGTGTCGCGCCTCGCCTAGATTGGAGTTTTTCAACCTGCCTTCCACGCGAATTAGACCGATTTCATCCATAAAGGGAGATAGTGAGAGCAATTTACTGGATGTGCTGATGGGTCCCCCCTTGTTTAATGCCTTATACTTCTCGGGGAACGAGGCCCTTTGTATTGTACTACATGCTATATTTAGTGCGCGTAACATTTCGTCATGTGAGGCAAACCTAGTCGGCGGATTCGGGCGACACGCCCTGCGAAACCTAAGGCAATAGGCCAAAATGCGACATATTTTATTTAAACTAGAGAATTTGCCTGTCAATTCATCTATTACGGAACCTTCCAAAGAAACTACGACTGCAGAGACTACCCGCGCCTCCGGCATGCCATTCGCGAGTCGATTGAATCCACCGCTTGGCCATTTATCTTGAGGAGATCGTAGGAAGGCGGGGCCTTGCCACCACAATGAAGAGTTTGCCAGCTCGTGGGGATTGAGCCCACGCGATAACACGTCCGCAGGATTATCAGCAGAGGAAACGTGAGCCCAACACTCTATCCTAGTGATACGTTGTATTTCACCGACTCGGTTGGCCACGAAGGCTGTCCACTTCCGGGAAGGTAAAGTCAACCAATTTAATGCTATCGTCGAGTCCGACCAAAGGAAGATGTCATATTGCGATAGGTCAAAAGAATCTTTAACCTTTTCCAACAGCTGAGCTAGTAACAATGCTGCGGATAGTTCCAACCTTGGCAGAGACACCGTCTTGAGAGGTGCAATGCGAGATTTTGAACAGAGAATCTCCAAGCGATACTCGTTGCTACCCTCCGTTCGGACGTATATGCATGCTCCATAGGCACACTGACTGGCATCACAAAACCCATATATTTGAACGTGACGAGGATCTGAAGCAAATTTGACGCATCGATTAATTTGCAATCTGTTTATCTCAGGTAACTGCGATTTGAATTTTAGCCATCGTGATTGTATGGCTTGAGGAACGGATTCATCCCATTGACAACCCGCTTGCCAAAGCTCTTGGAGGATGATTTTTGCCGTAACTATAATAGGCCCTAGCACTCCTAAGGGATCGAACAATTTAGCGGTTTCTGATAATATTGCGCGCTTTGATACCGTATGATGATCTACGTTCGTCTTATACGAAAACCCTAACTTGTCGTTTGCTTGGCTCCATAAAACTCCCAATACGCGTGGATGTTCGCTACTACTAATGACGATTGAGTCACCATGCTGACCACCCACATAATCGAGTAACTGTGGGCAATTTGATGCCCATTTACTGAGTTCGAATAAACCTAGTCGTAGTAATTGCGTAACTTCCTTTACTATTAACTCGGCTTCAGTAATCGTGTCTGCCCCCGTGAGCATATCGTCCATATAAAAGTCTTGCCTGACGCATCTTGATCCTACCGGAAACGTCGCTTCATGTTGTTCCGCCAAGTATGTCAGACATCTCGTCGCTAAATATGAGGCGGAGGAAGTACCGTACGTAACTGTCGTTAACTCAAATCCCTTGATGTCCGATCTTACATTATCGCGCCACAATATTCTTTGCAGTCTCGTCTACGAAGGATCCACCAAAATCTGTCGATACATTTTAATTATATCAGCCGAGATAGCGTAGCGATGTGTAGGAAATCGTAGTAAAATGGACATTAAGTCCTGCTGCACAACAGGCCCTACTGTGAGTACATCGTTGACGCCTGTGTTACTTTTGCACGATGCATCAAAGACAATGCGGATTTTGGAAGATTGACCAGAGCCCTTAAAAACGCAATGATGCGGTAAGTAAAAAACTTCGTCGGAATGTTCATCTACAACCTTCATATGCGCTGATGTTAGATATTTATTCATGAACTCCGTATATTGTACTCTTAGGTTAGGATCACGATCAAAACGTTTCTCGAGGTTCTTTAGACGCTTTAACGCTATGTCCCTTGAACGACCTATTTCGCTGATTATATGCTCCTTGATGGGAAGCCTTACCACAAATCTACCATCTGGGTTTTGGGAAACGCTGTTTAAGAAGTGTTGTTCGCACCGAATCTCCACGAGGGTACGATCAATGGGGCGCCCAACACAACCTTCCTGATGCCAGAAGAGGTTTAACTGGTCGTGTATCTGTGCGTTAGTTATAGTCGCGTGAAAGGTGCTTACCCCTCGCGGATTGCTCGATGAAAGGCCGATTCGACCGGCCAAGATCCACCCTAAACGCGTCTTTTGCAGAGTTGGGTGTTTGGGTGAGGACTGCACCTGCCCCACGCATACCAAGTCCCAGAATACGTCGACACCTAGTAATAAATCAACCTTAGATGATTTATAAAAATGCGGGTCAGCCAACTCTAAATTGCGAGGAATGTCGAAAGCCCCACGATCTAAGGTGGCCGCGGGTAGTTTGCCCGTCACTTGCTCGGTGACAATACATTCGATGTCTGTTGAATATGCATTTAAGCGAGATTGAAGCTTCAAGCGGACGCTCTGATTAGACGTGGTGGTCGCGCCATCCACCCCTGAGATAACTACGCTTATCGATCTTGGTTTTAAGCCAAGCTTGGTTAAAAATTTCCTGGAAATAAAGTTAGCCTGCGAACCGCAATCTAACAATGCACGGCCCTCGATGAGCCTGTCTTCTTTATCATAGATGTACACCACGGCAGTCGAGAGTATAGCACCTTTATTGTCAGAGAGACTCGACGCGTGTGTGGCCAAGGTCGCTTGAGACGTGGCTATAACCTGATTCGCGCAATTTTCCTTGTCGTGATCTTGTGTGCTAGTAACGGTTGTCGTGTGCAGTAGCGCATTATGTTTGGCCTTACAATTTTTGCAACCGCCTGAAGGGCATTTGCTAGCTACATGCGTTGTAGAACGTAAACAATTGATACAGATTTTGCGGCTACGGATTTCTGAATTTCTACGCGGTATTGGAAGGGCTAGAAAATCCTTGCATTTATAAATCGAGTGGTCGCCTTGGCAGAAACTGCATTTATAACCGATTGTTGCCGTACATGCGGACTGGCGCCTTGCCTGTAACGAATTACGCGGATTGTTACTTTTGGTTGAAACGATTGAAGACTTGCCTGTCGCTTCTAGAATCTGACAGCGATGCGATATAAACTCGATAATCTGCTTCAGAGTCGGGAGCTCCGTGCCGGCCAAAGAGGACTGCCACTCTCGCAGAGTGATTGTGTCGAGCTTAGCGCTTAGAATATACACAAGAATATCATCCCAGTGGGCTGTTGGGCGCTGGAGTGCTTGTAGGGCACGTACATGCTTGGACGCGCCATCCGCAATTAGCCTCAGCTCGCTGGAATTCTCCTTAGACATAGATGGAAGGTCCATGATGGCTCTAATATGTGTATGCACAATGATTCTCTCTCTCTGTTATCATAACGCTCCTTCAATAATCGCCAGGCAATCTCATAATTGAAATCCGAGATTTCCAGCGAACTGATGACATCACTGGCCTCACTGGAAAGAGAAGAGCGTAAGTATTGCAATTTTTGAACGTTACTGAGCGAAGCATTGGAATGTATAATTGAATTGAAGGCGTCAAAAAATGGAAACCACTCGTCGTATTTACCGCTAAAACTCGGAAGATTCAATTTCGGTAATCGAACATGCGCCACGGAACTATAAGTATCGGAGACATTGGATGGCGATGGCACCATATTACGCGTCGATGGCACAGATATAGTTAGTTTCTCTCTTAATTTCGCCGATAACGCGTAATATGCCTCCTTGAACTCTCAACGATCGCTGCCTTCATTTTCATCCAATGCTTCTATTTGCGATTGAACGGTATTATATCCCGACCAACTGAGATCCAGCTTTAACTTGCGTTCCTCAAGTTGCGCTATTACCGACGGCGTAAGGGACGTGACCGCATCCACGTATGTTTTCGTACGCGTACACGACGACTTAATGGTCGTCCGCTGTCTTTTTAGAGCAGTAATGTTTTCGACGGACATTTTAAATTAATAGACGGCGATAGAATAATGTACACAAACGTTTCCAAAGGTCGATCTAGATAGCCTTACCTGACTACGCAGCGCGCGATACCTGTGCGTCTTAATCTAACGGTGCCTCGCCGATGCAATAGCGAAGAACGACGATTCTTGAAGGGAATTGCCGCCAGGTGCCTTCTCGTTCCTCTCGTCTGATTTCCCAAGGGCGAGTCCGGTTGATGAACGACTGATGATGCAGATCTGCTCGTCGCTACCGATCCTCGCTTCTCGTGCTAGTGATAATGCGCACGGCGCATGCGGGTACGCCCTGGCACTCGTATGAATCGGCACCGTGGAATGGCGGGCTGCCTTGGCACTAGACCTCGCCGTGATTGCAGGTTAAGCGTGCCGCTGTCACTCACCTGTGGTGCCCGTAGAGTATCTGGACTTCGTCGAAGGAACTCGTAATACTAGAATACTAGCAGCCGTTCTTGCATGTATCCGATGAGCAGCCTTTGATCCAAAATGGCTGGATCCGGCTCGAAGGACCAATGTTTTGTCTGTACGCGTTGTTTACTTGAGACGCGCACTCCCACCTTGGTGAAGACGCGGATCCCTCTCTTCGCGTTCGGAGGTGGTCGAGAAGTAAAGTAAGCTTCTCTTATTTAGTATAAGTTTATTCGGCTTGCACTCGTGGATACACATGTAACGGCAGTATAGCGGTTTCTTGTCGGTGGTTTTTCGTCGTACAAAGATGGCAGAGAATGAAGAAGAAATGCGCGCGCAACTTACACGCGGGAGAGTAGGAGGAAAAAGGTGGCGCGCTCGCCAGCCGACCCAAACGGTCGCAACAACGCACGCGCGGTTCCAATAATCGCGATCCTCTATCGGGACGTATAGCGCATGCGGCAAGGTTGGCGCCAGGCGCCAAATCGATCAAATCCAATCATGTAATTTTGTACTTAACAATGGCGTTGTTTATTCTATGATTGTAATATTTCGCGAGACATCCAGACGCAGTATCTGCCCAGCGTTGAAATGGGAGAGTCCTGTTCGTGTTACTAGGAATTTGGAAATACTGGGAGGTTGGTGGACACATGAGTAACTGGGGATACTATAAGTGCAAGATATCGTTAACTGGAATTATAATGGAATCTCCGATTTCTGCGAAGATGAGATGTGAAAATTGCTCGTACTGTCTCAAAATGGATAAGCATGCAGGACACGTGTGAGTGAATCTAGATGTTGGTATTACGAGATTACAGTTGGCGCCATGATATTCTACAAGTTGCGTTTTGATGTGTAAGTAATGTTTTGTTATACGGCTTTGAGGGTGCGACGGCAAAAAGGAATTATTTTTGTGGCACCTTTGACAAATGGTATTCCCGTCGGCTACGAAATACGTGGTCATGCAACACGTGGCTGTGTCCAAAAAGGCTGTGAGAGCAGCGGCTTGACTCAATTGTCGGTTCCTTAATGGCCTTAGCAACGGACACATGTATATAGTTGACAATGCTCAGTTACAAAGATTTTAGTCGGTGAGGTGTAATTCAACCTCAGCGTCTCATTCGATGCAATTGGCAATGTAATTATTAATTGATAATTATGAAATTATGCACTGCTCCCGTGGCGAGGTGTAATTCAACCTTGCTACCCATGCAAATACACGACTATAATTAATAAAAGTGTTATGTTGTAAATACTGTTTTCTTCCTACCTTTCGTTGTTAATTGAAATGCGTCGAATTGATTGGCTTCCTTCCTTCCTTCCTTCCTTCTGATTGTTGGTAGCAGCTTGATGTATCGTTTATATTATATAGTTTAATTCGTCGCGTTAGAATTATTTAAGATAGATTTAATGAGGATAGGCAATTGAATAAAAACACTGAATTTAAACATAATAATTTTAAATTAAGAAGCGCCATAACGGTCAGAACGTTAAGATGTTGAACTATTGTAAATTCATTTAAATGAATTAATTTCAGAAATGATAATTGCGTGCCGATATGGTTGTCGGACTTTCAACGCAATCAAATCTGAAAATATTAATAATCCCCCCAAATTCCCCCCAACTTAAAAACTGTAATAAAACTTATTGCGAAAAATACTGAATTTAAACTTAACTGATATGTATATAATTACTGAATACGTATACAACTTATTATAATTATAAAATCAATTCTAAATTCCGGATTTACGGGATCTTGACGCACGGCGGACGCGCGGAGAGTATGACTTTGTAGACTGTCTGGCTTAGACTCGGTATACGAGGTATACTCGGTGTAAGCTGACGTTGCACTCACAGATTTCTATACTACACTAGATCGCTAACTTAGGTAGTGGGGGTAAAGCAAATTGAAGCATGGATAGGATACGTCGCCATTTATGACACGTACAATCGCGCCAACATTTAAACGAATAAAATTTTTATTCTCATACTAACAATTAAAAATAAAGGTTAAGAATATAAATACTTATATTTAAAGGTATAAAAATCATATATTAAAAAAATATTTGTTTAAGGGAAAAGGTTATTTAATGAGAAAGTAGCCAGACTCGAATAAAGAAAGGAAAATAATATATTTATGTTTGAAAATATAAATAAAATATTAAATTAAATCACAACAGTGTGACAGCGCATCACATGTCACATATATTATAATATGTCAATAGTAATACAATGAGTGGCACTCGTTGATCACATTGCGATTAACAACCAGCCACTCATAGTGTTTAAATGTACTTTTATAATGTATTTTTTTTTTAATGTATTTTTATGTAATTATATTTATAATACAAAAATTCGATGTATATTAAATCATTATCAATGATATAAAAAAGCACGAGACGTTAATTAATAGTATAGTATAATTGAACGTTAATTAATAGTATAGTATAATTGAACCACTGTGAAAAATAAGACGCTATCTGCGTTAATAACAGAATCAAAAAATCAATTTAATGTAAAAAAAATTAACTTTTAATGTAACTTTTTGATCCTGCCTTATCATTGCGGATAGTCTATTTTTCTATCCAATGGTTTAATTGCCACTAAACTTGAATAAAATATGATTATTTTTTACAATATCGTAATAGGATGATTATAAAAACCTGCAATAATTATAAGCCTTTGGAGAATAGTAATGGACAGTTAATGCAAAGTTCTTCAGTTCTTTTGAATATCGGACTCCGGTATTTGCATGATTGTGATTTTTCCATTCACTCTCAAATAAAGCTGCAGTCATTCCACCAATTGATGATTAATTAATTCAAATGCATTACTTTCAATTAATTTCTTATCCCTATTGTAAGAAATACGAGAATATAAATTATTCTAATTTTTTTAATAAGAAATGACACCGTGATAACATAGACCGTCGACATGATATTACATATAACAAAAAACATAGCAACAGACTGCAGCAAAAATATTAAAAAAGAATTTTTTGGAATATCAACAGTTTGTTTGCCATCGTACTACTACAAATATAATATCAGCTTCTTGTAATTTTAACAGCGTGAATGTAATATATTGAAAAATTATTTAAATCTTACGATAATTTCTTAAGCAAATCTGTGAGGCATTTTATTTTATTTTCTTGACGTCGTACTTTTTGTTGCAAAAGACTTTTATTTTTTTTTGCATTTTTTTCTTTCTTGGAGAATAAGCATCAGCTCTCGGAGTTTTAATTCCTTCTATTCCAATTTTTCTACGCTTTATGCATTTTTTATTTAAAAATGATACATCTTCATTTGGATCAATTGATATGCTGCGTTTCCTCGTAAGTTTATTCTAAAAAAATTATAACATTTTATTTGAATGCATATTATGTACATATAATGACAAATGTACCTTTTGTGAATGTTCAATATTTGAATTATTTTCTATCACTTCTGGCAATAAATTCTCTGAAATTTCTACAGAAATGTTTTCATCATTATTGTTATAGCGAATTGGAACTGCACATTCTTTCAATCTCGGTTTGTATGCACCTGGTCTTATCTCATAATCATTTGGAGTGAAATGATCACTACAGATCACACTGTGTTTTGCAGGCTTAAAATTATCTTGTCCAATCATCTCAATCCATTTCTTAAAAATTTCTTCTCTCTTAAATGGGAACCTAATATATTTATAAAATAATTATTTACAGTATTACGCCTATAAAACATTAAATAAGTGTAAATTATTTAAAATTAACCTTAAATAATGTAATTTTTCAATTATACTTTCGTAGAATATAGGAATTTGAGACATACTTACGTAAAGAAATGCAAACCCGATCGTCGAACTTTTTTACAATGTTTTATACAACAAATTTGTGGCATTTTGAAAATTTTTAATTGTATTTTTATTGAAACTATTGAACATACATTTCACAAAATACGATGTAAT